TACATTACAATCTCTATATAATAGTCTTAGCATTATTAATCTCTCCATTACGATTTCTACCTTATCAACCACTGCACAACTTATAGGCTAAATAGTTCGGGACCTTCCTGAATTTGGCAATTTTTGTTTAGTTTCTCCTAAACTTCATATGGTCTTTATTACCCCTTTGAACTTGGCATTTTAATAGCCTTAACCAGCCAGAAAGAAATACATAGTTGAAACACATATTCATTGTATCTAGAAAAACACAATTAAGATAAAATATGTAATGTATATTAAGACGAAACAACGATAAATTATAATTGGAACAAATAAATTATTATATTTAATTATGGGATAATTTATATTTGAAAAATATCATACTTGGAAGCTGATTTTTTAAAATTTTCTTACCTCCCACGCATATAAAAAAGAGTGTATTCACGTTGTTTGTAACATGAACGAGGAGGAGGCTATCAAATTTTTAAGTTTAGGGGGAATTAGAGATGAGGTAAAGTTTAAGGAGAAAACTAAAGAAAAGTGGTTGGTAAGTACCGTAGCAAGTGTACTTCCAACTGTCCCAGAAAGAAAAAGAAAACAAAAAACAAAAAACAAAAAACCAAACATCTTACTTTGTAGACGCAAAAAGCAAAGTCAAACATTGTGGGGAATCAGAAGTCTAAAGTGCGTAAGGCGTACATAGTTTGAAATCAAACATACCATTTGATTTTGCCTGGAAAGGAGCCGCTAAATGGCGTCTGCCAGTAGTCCTCAATCGCTGTTCAATGTTTTCGTCTACGGCAGCCTTTTAGCTGACGACGTCGTTCGTGCCCTCCTCAAACGGCTCCCACCTTCTTCACCTGCCATTCTCCACAACTTGTTAGTTTTGTGTTCTATTACCATCGATAGATGTGGCATGTTGCCTTTTTTTTATTATTATTTATTATACCCTTTTAGCTTATGTGTGTAAAATTGATGCTGAAATTGTTTTTCAGTGGATATTTGGGATTAGCTTTTCTTAAGAAATTAAAACCTAATAGTATGTGTTGAAGTTTCTTATATGCTTGAGATATAGTGCTGGTTTTGAGATGAATTAAAATAGAAGATTGTGATTTTAATGCTAATTTCATCTGTCTCAGAATCAAAGTTTCAACTAATCTCATACTTTGTATTATGTGAAAAATGTTGTACTTTAACATAGAGGGCTACAAGTGCTTCAACATTCCTTCTTACTTGTGATTCTTGAAAATGTCATGTAGTTGATTTCAACCATTATATTACATATATACGTCTTTTTGTTCTTAAATACTTACACTGTAGCTTTTCAAATACTAGTTAATGCGATTTTGGGTTTTTCAATTAAATTTTTTGTGTATATATGTTATTGTCCTATTTGCTCGTTGCTTACGATGTTTCTTTAAGTAATAGAGTGATAGATTTTTCTAACATCTTGTAGGAACTGATTCTGTTGCTTTGCTTCAGCCATAGGTTTAGCATCAAAGGGCGTGTTTATCCTGCCATTCTACCTGTAGAAAACAAGAAAGTTAATGGCAAGGTTTGTTTGACATTTACCACTTATTGCCCTAGAGAATTGGCAATGCTTATTAATACGTACTATATCATATGTACAAGCTGTTCCAGACATGCTAAATCACTGAATTATCTTCTAAAGGTTACCTCCAAGCATCTTAGCTATTCAGCTATCATGTGAACATAATCTGATGAATGAATTGCAAAACAATTCTGTTATCATGTGATTTTTGCTGCAAAATTTACTTTTTTCGGTGAAAATATTGGTCATCTCCACATTTTAAATGCCCAGGGACTTCTGCCTCTATTACAAACTACAAAGTCTCCAGACAAAAGCTGGGTGCATCATGGTTTGATACTTGTAATATTTTCAAGTGAGGTTAACATAAGTGAATTGATTGATTATGGAAATTTAAGATTAGGAAAAGCGAATTCACCTTTTAAGTAAACTATGGGACATAATTTTCTTGTTAAAAGTGGAATCATCGCCAGCCATTTGGTTTAGTTCTCCCTCTGACATTGGGTATAAGCATTACTTGAACCCAGTGGATAGCTGCTTATGGTCACTCAGAGTATAGCTTATACATCCTAGTCCATTCCATAAAATTAAAGATTTGGTGGGTGAATGTGATGACTGACCTCCATTATAGAGGTCCAGGGACTACAGGCTAATACGTGTGCTATACAACTATAAAGTAGAAGTAACAACAACTACTGCATGCAATCCCTTGTTATTGAGACCTCAATGAAAAATATAAAATCTTACCTCTTACTCATCTTCTGAATGATATGTTTGTTTTGACAAAATGCAGGTTCTTTCAGGCATCACTGTCCTTGAATTGGATATCTTGGATAAATTTGAAGACGTTGAGTATGAAAGGAGAACTGTTGATGTTTCCCTGACGGTATTGATACACAAAGTTCCAGAGTTCCTGTAGTCCTTTATTTGCGTTCTTGTTATAGCAGTGGCACATCACCAGAGCATTACAAGACTATTGTAGAGCTTAAAATATACTCAAACTCCCTGTCTCAAAAAGCTATTTACAAAAAAAAAAAAGTAAACAAATAAATAATTAAATAAAATTACTCAAAAAGCTTTTTCCAAATGTTGTCCAAATGGCTCCTAAATTTTTGGGTTCAATGGAAAAATCAAGCTATTTCAATTGATGGGTGCTTTTTGGCGATAAATGTAGATGCTTGAGGGCCTAACACCTACAACAAATACATGCTCTTTACTGCAGCGTCACTGTTCACTTGAAGTGCTCATCCAGCACTTCAGCGAGTAGTGTTCTGCAGAGTTTTCATCGAAATTAGGCTGTCAATTTCTTTTGTTTTGGATATAAGTCTTAAAGATCACCGCATGCGTTTTTTATTAGTCACAATTGTATGATTTCCTATTCAAAATCTCAGAGTGCTTGATCGCCCTTTGAGTAGTTCTACCTTCATCTGTGTCATCTTTTTGTTTCTAAAAGTTTCGTGGTTGACTAGGAGGCAGAAATCTAGTGTGCTTTGGAGGTAGGAGTTTCAGGTCTTCTATTTATTAACCATTGATGATACAACTTCATAGGTATGATGATCATCTAGTCATAGTGATATCATTGCCATTGCTTTTTAGTTCTTATTAAGAATGTTATGGTTGGCATAAATGTAGCGAAGTGGGTTTACTTCATCCAGATCTCCCACCTATGTCAGATATACTTTTGGCACTTCTGGCCTCACACAACACTAGTGAGGCGCGTGGATTTCAGTTTTCCAATTTTAATGTATTTATCTGGTTCACAATAGATGTCTTTGCTTTTTGCAGGACAGTTCCGATACATTAATGGTTGAAGCATATATTTGGGCTGACCAGAGTGACCCGAATTTGTACGGTGAATGGAACTTTGAGGTAATCTGAGATCTCGTATCAGTAGCTTCTTTTCTTAACCAAGATTTTGTATAAGCTAGTCCTCATACTTCTATGTTCTTATGGAAAATGCTTCAAAAGGAATGGGAACAGTTGCACAAGAAAAGCTTCCTGAAAATGACGATGGAGTTTGTGGAGGAACTGGAGCAACCTAACCAAAGTGGTAGCACATGAATCCTATAGGCAGGATGAAAATAAGTCCACGGTTTGATCTTTTTCATGAACATCGAGTGCCCACGGGAACAACCGCCCCCCCCTCCCCCTTCCAGAAAAAAAGAAGAAGAGAGGAAGTTCTGGACAAGTAAGCTTAGAAACAGGAATTCAGTTTGGACTGGATAAGCACTATTAGTCTATTGCTTCTGTTGTATTACAAGTAGTGGTTTCCATTGCCCTTTCCTTTTGATTGTGGGATAGGGGGTAATAGCCCTTTGATCTTGTGAACACTTCATATTGTCATATGTATGTAGAAATTTCAAAGCATTGGTGTTATGTCTCTATTGCTGGACTGAAAATATTTAGAAAGGATTAATTTCTTTTACAGATTTGTTATATTACCTAGTTCAAATAAGAAGGAATTTAATACTTGATTTTCACATTTTAAATACACAGTCCCAAAAGTGAATTAAACAGTTCACCATTTACTTGGATTGAAGCATTAATGATAGGGAAATTTATTGATAAACTATATAAAATTAATAAAAATTATATTTTATTCAACCAATATACATAATAACTCTTATTGACATGTCAATTTTAAATGTTTCAATAAAAGTTGAAAAAGTAAAAAAACAATTAAGTAACATACTGCAAAATGAAAAATAAAAGGAAAAAAATGAAATAAAATTAAATGGGGCGGGGCAGGGCTTGATAGGGCAGGGCAATTTTTTTTAAAAAAAGCTAAACGGGGCGGGGCGGGGCGGGTCAAAATCTTAGCCCTGCCCCGCCCAATTTACATCCCTAGTGTTATCTGTGCCTGTACACAATCTATAAAAGATCACATTCAGCATTTCTCTGGTTCTAATTATTGGCTATTCAAACTTGTCATTTTGCTTTTTTTTCTTTGGTTAATGCATCCCAAACATACACTCCTCTCATTTTTAGCATTAGAAGAATGACTTAACTTCCAACTCGACTTAAAGGTCATTTTGAATGAGATCTTCAGTTTTGAATCTTTCTACATATTTGAATTTTCCCTCTCTAGTTCACCNTTACCCTTTTGAAGTCAATAAGGGATATTTACTGATAAATAAAAATTATTTATAAGAATGTAAAATTAGCTTTTAATGACGCTTCTGCTTCTAAGAAGAAGCTGCAATTAGCTTCTTTCAAACAAAAGAAAAATAAAACTGCTTCACTTTCTTTTTCCTTAACGTCTAAAGAAGAAACCAATCAAATTGCAACCGTTTTAAACATTCCATGTAACATTTAAAAAGAGCAAGTAGAGAGAATACTTGCATTACATCTTCAAAACAATCAGTTCTGTTTAAAACTTCCAGAAAAGTTTGAAGATGTGCAGTAAAATGTTAGAAAGTATAAAATTCTAGTTCGCTCAAGGTCAGACTTAAAAATACAACTCAATTCGAGGGAGCATTTATCAACATATTTTTGCATTTTATTGAAGATAGTAGAAATTCTTGTCACATATGTGAGTCCAGAATAGAAGCTTTAATATAGTCAAACTTTCACAATGATTTTGCCACAAACGACTCGTCTTCTCTTATATGATTTTACAAATGTTGTTAATTTTTTGTCCTGAAATCTAATAATAATCTAATTCTGCTTTGGAGGGCTGCGGCGGCGAATTCTTAGATAGCCAAACTTGCCAGCCCCAGGAGATGAACCCTCAAAGAGAATAGGCAAATATCCTGTTGCAGCTTTGTATCTTCGCTGTATCTGCACATTAAAAAGAGTTGGAACAGCCCCATTATTCTGCTTAAATCAGTACTATTAATAAGACACTACCAAACATTCACAAAGAGCTCATTCAGCTGAAGAAAAAATATATCATAGAATACATTTTCGCATTTCACAACTATCCTTTACCACATTCTGTCTCTAACAAGTGTGCTATACTTAAAGTGCCCATATTGGAACAAACATGACAATTGTATACTTTTCTTGAATTGGGGTAAATAGTGAATTCGAAGGCAACAGAGGAGAAAGGTAGCCTTTAAAAGAGAGGGACATTACCTCGAGAATTTGTTCACTGCTCTTAAGTGAATTCCTACCAATTACACAAACAGTTCCACCAGATCCCCCACCGGTAATTTTAGCACCATACAATGTCCCTTCTCCAGATTTTGATGCCTTACTGTGCTGCATTTCTTGCACTAGTTGGACGAGCCTATTGGTTCCATCCGAACCTAGTCCACAATCACCATAACTGTAGTGGCACTGCAAATAAAGAAATAAATATACAATGGATATGTCAGCTTAATACATAAAGGTGCACTTTCGAGAACATCTTTGCCCCTTTTAAAATAGGGAGAATTATTAAAACCAATAAATAAATAAAAATTAGCTTCTGAGCAAGCTTTTTGTATAAGATTCAATTTGTTGTTCCTCTGGCTTATTTGAGGAACTGGGGTTCTCTACAGATTAAGGCTATAAGATTGTCACCAAGAATAACCTCAAGCAACTCTTAAATGAGACTTATTGATAAGGGAGATTAATCTTTCTTACATTGAAAAAACTTGAATAGGGAGATTAATCTCTGTTACATTGAGAAAATGTCTGGCTTTAATCTTCTATTATGCTTTAATATTGCGCTTGTTACTAATTCTCAGTAGTAGAGAAAAGCTACTTCTGATTGCCATTCCCTTTTGAAACTTGAATACTGAAACACAAAAGGGAAATACATTGAGATACCTGATACAATAGTTCTCCAAGAGCGTTCAGTTGATCATCTGAAGTCGCAGACGTTAGCAGTGCTTTAAAGGCCTGTCATCAATATTCCAAATCATCAGTCAGATCACATATATTCGTTCCATTGTGTTGAGAAGTAGTTTAATCCAAAGACAACATAAGACATTCAGACACCATAGTCTAAAGACATTCAATTAGAAGAAATAAATAGTAAAATTGAACATTAGGATATAAAGAAGAAAATTAGTTTTAGATGTGCTAACTACGCATTGATCAATTGAAGAAAACTAACCTTCACACGGAAGTTCTCATAAATAGGGTGTCTGGCAGCAGCTCTGACCCCATAATTACGTGTCTTGTCAATTGTCGTTACCGGGTCACGGTGGTCAGTGTACTTTTCAACAAATGACTCACCAAGTATAGATTCAGGAAGCATCTTGGCGTACATAGCCTCATATCTACAATAGCAATACCATTTATGAATTATTACAAGTCAAGAGACCGATCCGATTGGAACAGCCACAAACATGCCCAATAAGTGGCGTTCTTATTGTTATTTGTATCAACAATCTATCTTTTCCTTTGTCTCCATGGTTGAAGTATGAATGAATTCATTGTGGAGGTCGGAGATAACATGTTTTTTCATTTTGACCAAGAAAGGAATATGGATCATTACCTCAGGGAGGAGAAAGGGATCAGTATGGTAAGTTGGCGCATGATACCACAATAAAAAATGTTGTTCACAGTTACAAAGGAATAACATTTACGGAAAAGAAGTGAAAACAACCAACAGTGCAGAGGAAAACAGGGAGAAGAGGAGAGATCACATGCATTAATCAGAATGAAAATGAAAAATTGCTCTCCTTATTCTTCAGATCATGCTTTTTACCTATGAGGTGAAAGGTTGCATAAGTAATCTAATGAAGCTTCAGCTTCAAGTAATTCGACACCGCCTTCCTCTGATTCATCAGGGCTACTACCATTCGCTAACCGGGACTCTGATAATAGTGTTGATGCAATAGACTTGACGATCTCTCGGCCCATAAAGGCACCAATCCTAACGGATCCATAATCTGCACCTCCAACACTGCACAGCGGTGGTAAATCTTAAAACGTGGACAAAGAAGGAGAGGGGTCTATTTTTCTTTCTTTTCTACTATAATTCTCATATCAGTTTCAATCCAGTTGTTTCATCATCTTTTCCTTCTTAATGTTCACAGATGCAGCATTTTCCTAATGTTTTGACAACAATGTTGGGCTAACTGGCCTTATAGTCTCCAACTGATTTGGTTTCTTTCTGAAACTTAAAGATGATTATCACCCATCCCAGTCATGATAATCCCCAAGACATGAAGAGCTTTAACCAAAACAGACAAGGAAACCAATTTTGGGGAGTTCAGAAATTTCGACAATAAAGTTCAATGGAGCATGCATCTTTAGTGGAAGAGATTACTGCATGAGCTCAAAATTAAATCAGCTTCTGCAGAAATGTGCAAAGTATATAAGCAGGGAACCATTAACTCAGATACCTGAAGCTAGACAAACAGGGTTATTTTTCTTCTAAAGAGGAAAAAATAACATTAAAACTGATACCTGTGCCTTATTCCTGAATCAATTCCCCATACTCTTATATGACCAGGAATATCCACTAGACCTAGCACCTCGGCAGGCTGCAACAAATGGGAACAATCTTAGTCATTTCGCTAAACGTCAATTCAGTAAATTTTGTCCAATTATTGGAACAGTACCTGACAAACCATTGCAAGAAGTTTGTTGGCTTCACCACATGCAGAAGTCATCTGATCCATTACCCCACATGGTGCTCCAACAACATGATTTTCTACCTATTACCGAAAGACTGAGAAATCAGGTGCTGAACTAAAGTTGAACGTCAAACACTTGGAAGAAAAAAATCGTCAATTGGAAGCCCTAGAAAATAATACCTTTTGGCACAGTAAGGCAAGCTCCCTTGGGCTAATATTCAACCCTGGAAAGCAAGATTTTGGTGCATTATCAAGAAAGCATTCAAATTGCTAAGGATTAGTTAAACGGAGCTTATACATCACTGGACTAAAGAAAACTTTTAATTCTTTTTTAAGAAATTAATGAGAGTTTTTTCCCTTGTTATCGTGCGTGGTGGTGGTCCAGGTAGAGATCCATTACTAACTCATGATATTTTGTCATGAAAATAGGAAGGCAGTGTTATACTAATCTGAAAGGGACAGACAAGATTCAACTAATTTTCTTTTCCAGGTTGGTCAGATTTTCATGACCAAGTTCACTTCAGTATATCTCACTTAAAACAGTTGCTTGGTTCATTCTTTATATTGCAGCTCTAGTCCTTAGGACCATTACTGTATTTGTAATTACTTCAACCTTCTTCTCTCTTCTTTCTCTTTCGTGTTCACTTATACTGACAACTACCCCTTGGCCAATACAAAATTGTGAGCTGATGAAGAATTAAGAGAGAACCCCTCATAAGTTCCAGGAAAAATCTAAACAGCCATGTCTACTGAATGAATTTAAGGCTAATGAAAGAAACAAGGAATTACAGGAATCAGCTATTCAGAATCAAGCATAAGGAAAGAGAGTCTGGGGCAAAATCATCAGCATAAACATGTCCTAGTGCCGTGAGAAATAAGAAAAACGGGAGATGGATTGAGATAGGGCATGAGAAAAAAATGTTTAATGTTAAGGGATAATTAGTTGGTCTTGAGAAATAATGTCCTTTTTCATTTTAAAGTTGAATTCTAGTGTCTTCAATTAGTAGTCAACTTAAATATAAAAAACTAATTTCAGGTACATTAATTCTCCATCTTCATTAATCATTATAATGCAGCTCGTTAATCAATTTTGTAGGTAATATTATGATTGCCTTTCTTTAATTAAAGAAGATATTTTATCCGTTTCAATTTTATTTGATGGTATTTGGGGCAATATGAATTCAATATGCTAGTAAAATGGACTAAAAGATTAAAGTTGTGGTTGGAAAAAAGAGCAAACCTTGTTGGGATTAAAAGATTGGTGAATGGGAAATGGAGAGAAGAAAGTGGAGGGAAAATGAGCTCCAAAAATATGTTTAATGTACACAACATTGTCTAACTATTTACATTTAGCTATGTAACAAGTGCTTTGATGGCTCCTAGCTTTTTGGAAGCATTTTATATGCACTAGGTNAATGTGTGTATCACTGGACGATTAACCCAGTCCTTTTTAATCCAGTTCTTGGAGATAAAGCTTGAGCTGCACTCAAAGTCAGCAATGCTATGTTACTAACACAGACAACTACGACTAGTGTTAATTGACAGGAACGACCGCCTTCTAGTTGTAGTTGGGAACTTTCTTAGACTTGGTGAACGCCTTATGAATTGACAACTATGACCAGTGTTAATTGACAGGAACGACCGCCTTCTAGTCGTAGTTGGGAACTTTCTTAGACTTGGTGAACGCCTTATGAATTGACAACTATGACTAGTGTTAATTGACAGGAACGACCGCCTTCTAGTCGTAGTTGGGAACTTTCTTAGACTTGGTGAACGCCTTATGAATT